AGGGTGATGATGCTGATTATGTTGATGATGCGGGTGAGGATGAGGATGAGGATGAGGATGATGATGATGATGATGGTGATGGTGATGCTGATGCTGATGCTGATGCTGATGCTGCTGATGATGATGATGATGATGATGATGATGATGATGATGATGTTCGGATTATGATGGCGATAAGGACGTGCGGAACGCGGAGGGCAGAGGCAGGGATGGGAAGAGGGAGGAGGGGGAGGAGGAAAAATGGAACGCGCGGCGCTGTCTCTTCAAAACGAAGGCCCAACACCAAGGAAGGGTTGGGAACATAACGGCCTCCAATTGGCCGAGGCGGCGGCGAGAAGATGGGGGGGAGCTCTGGCGGCGCGCCCCAGAGGGGGAGGCGGAAGGGAGGCGCCCACGTGTTAACACTTACACCCCTGCAGGTCAGCGTTTCTTGAAAAACCAGCTTGACTTCACAATTCTGGTATGCAGTAGGGGCCCGACCACAAGGAATCTTCCACAAGGAACCCAACCCTGATAACCCACGGCGTCCGTTGATCTTTGGTGTGGGAGCGTCGTGCCTTCCATCGCAAAACGAACGAGACCCAAGAAACCCAGGGCATCCTGGAGGCAAGCGGGGTGTTTCTAGGCATGGGTCTCCGCTGTACGTGTGCAGCCAAGTGAACCCCAGCGGGGGTGTTTGGTAGTCCCCTTCGTCAATATGATAAGCACGGGGTGGCGCTCACAAGCGGTCGCCGACAAAGGGTAGTCGGCCTTCGGAGCACGCACCCAAAAAGGATTACGGAAAAACATGGCGAGGGCGGCGGTGCGCGGCGCGGCTCCGACGCTGCCAGCCCCAAGCGACCCCCAAACCCAAACCCAAACCCCCAAGCCCCAAGCGACCCCCAAACCCCAACCCCCCAAAAAACACGGCGGACGGTTTTCACGATTTTCGGCCTCTGGGGGCCCTTACTGGCCCTCGGGACCGTCAAAAAACGACACATGATGAAAACCGGTCCCGGGGAATGGGTCGGGACCTCGGGGGGGCGCGCCATGAAAAAATCATGACGTCGGGGGTCGGGAAACGCCAGACCGCAAGGCCGCGCGAGCGCGGGGGAATACGTTTGCCGCCAGGCAAAGGAGAGATTCGCGCGACAGCTGGCAATGGGGGCTGACTTGGCCGGGTAGGAAGAGAACCAAGTGGAACAGCACCCATATTCAGAGCTACCCCAGTAAAACACCCGAATGGCAAGAAGAACGACGAGGCAGGTCGAGGAGAAGTGAGGTCGGCTGATAAAAAGGGACGTATTCCTAGGCATCCCCTGGGATTCCCGGGAAAGGCTCGGAGCGCGGTATGGTTTTCACCTGCGTGTCAGAACCGCACGCGGGAGTATCATTCCAACAAAACACGAGGAGCCAGAAGTGTGGTCGGGCGTGGAATCTTGTCACGCAGGGACCGTGCGCGGGAACGGCGTCCTGGCAACGCGAGAAGAGGAACAACGCGTGGAGCACGGCCATGTGCCTCTGTTTGCCTCTGTTGCCGGCCGTTCGAACCCAGTGCCGCCAGCATTGCCTTCGGCGAGAGCAAGATTCCCGAATTGGTGGCAGGGGCGTCTCTGGCGATAAAACTGTCGGAGCGGGCGGTCAGGGCCCGCCCGTCCCCCTGGTCGGACTCGCACGGTGTCCTTGGTTGCTGTTGTTAGATACCTTCCAGGCGAAACGCTGTCGGGAAACAGCGAAGTCAATGACAACACGAAGAGGTCCCCGCCAGAGGTTCATCGGGGACACCCCCGCGGGCCCCTCACGGAACAGAAACACCCCTGCCGACTCAAGAAACAGCAGAAAAAAAAAAAAAAAAAAAAAAAAAAAAAAAAAAAAAAAAAAAAAAAAAAAAAAAAAAAAAAAAAAAAAAACGAGACTTACCTAACTTTCTGTGCGTGAGGCGACGATTCTATTAGTATGAACGCTTCATACGACCGAGCACATTGCAACATACGCGAACATCGGGGAAACACTATCATGTCGGGCCAAGCACGTCGCAGACCTGCGCCACATGGAACGGAGAACAGCTGTCGAGGAGTGGGGAGGAAGAGCAGGAGGAGGAGGAAGAGGTGGAGGAAGGCAATGAGGATTTCGAGGGAAGCACCATGCGCTGCATCTGCTCGGGTCGCCCGCCTTGCCGCTGCAGGTGACGAGCGTCTGAGGGGGGGAGTGGGCCACCGAGGACAGCCATGCGCTACGTGACGCTTCAACGCCCTGCGCTCTGTGATGCAACAGCGCCGCGCGTTAACTGAGGTTAGCCATCCATTTGCCATCGACATCAGACGTCCACTCGCCATGCATGTTTCGGTTTCGTGCGTGCTTTTTGTTGCCAGATGATCCAGGGTGCTCCTCGATGGCTCTCGCCGAGGACAAATCCACACGTCCGAGCGATGCCAAAGCCAGGGGGCAGCGAGGTGCTGTCTGGGTGCGCGTGGTTCCCGACCCCGCTGAACCTCCCAGGTGCCCACGAAAATGGTAACAACTGCGCAGTTCGCAGCCACCGAAGGAGCAGCGAAGTCCAGTCTGGGTCCGCGTGGCCCCTGACTCCGCTGGACCTCCCAGGAGCCAACGAACGTGGTGACAACTGCGCAGTTCGCACCCACCCAGGCGGCAGCGAGGTCCCGTCTGGGTCCCCAGGGCCCCCGACTCTGCTGACCTCTTAGGAGCCCACGAACGTGGTGACAGCAACGCAATTCGCAACCACCCAGGGAGCAGGCCCCCGACTCCTCTGGACCCCCCAGGAGCCCATGAACGTGGTGACAGCTGCACAGTTCGCAACCGCTTAGGGAGCAGCGAGGTCCCGTCTGGCTCCCTGTTGCCCGCGACTACGCTGGACCTCCCAGGAGCTCATGAGCGTGGTGTTGCGCAGTTCGCAGCCGCCCAAGGAGCAGCGAGGTCCTTTGTGGGTCCGCGTGGCCCCCGACTCCGCGGACCCCCAGGGAACTACGATAGTGCTAACAACTGCGCAACTTGCAGCCACCCAGGGAGCAAAGAAGTTCCGTCCAGATCCGCTCGGCCCCCGACACCGCTGGACCTTCCAGGAGACGATGAACGTGGTGACACTTGCGCAGTTCGCAGCCGCCCAGGGAGCAGCGAGGTCCCGTCTGGGTCCGCGTGGCCCGCGACGTCGGAACCCCAGGAGGCCACGAACGTGGTGACACTTGCGCAGTTCGCAGCCACCCAAGGAGCAGCGAGGTCCCGTCTGGGTCCGCGTGCCTCCCGACTCCGCTGGACCTTCCAGGGGCCCCCGGAAAGTGGTGACAACTGCGCAGTTCGCGGCCACGCAAGGAGCGGCGAGGTCCCGTCTGGGTGCGCTTGGCCACCGATTTCGCTGGACCTCCCAGGAACTCACGAACGTGGTGACAGCTGCGCAATTCGCAACCACCCAGGGAGCAGAGAGGTCCCGTCAAGATCCGCGTGGCCCCCGAGTCCGCTGGACCTTCCAGGAGCCGATGAACGTGGTGACACTTGCGCAATTCGCAGCCGCCCAGGGAGCAGCGAGGTCCCGTCTGGGTCCCCAGGGCCCCCGACTCCTCTGGACCCCCCAAGAGCTACGAAAGTGGTAACGACTGCGCAGTTCGCAGATGTCCAGGGAGCAGCGAGGTTGGGTCCGCGTGGCCCGCGACTCCGCGGGAACCCCCAGGAGCCCATGAACGTGGGGGCAGCCGTGCAGCTCACAGCCACCCAGGGAGCAGCGAGGTCCCGTCTGGGTCCGCGTGGACCCCCGACTCCGCTGGAACCTCCAAGGAGCCCACGAACGCGGTGACAACTGCGCAGTTCGAAGCCACTCATGGGGGCAGCGAGTTCCCGTCTGTGTCCCCAGGGCCCCCGGCTCCGCTGGACCTCCCAGGAGCCCATGAACGTGGTGACAACTGCACAGTTCGCAACCCCTCGCGGAGCAGCGAGGTCCCGTCTGGGTCCGCGTGGACCCCAACTCCGCACGACCTCCCAGGAGCCCACGAACGTGGTGACACTTGCGCAGTTCGCAGCCGCCTAGGGAGCAGCGAGGTCCCGTCTGGGTCCGCGGGCTTCCCGACCCCGCAGGACCTTCCAGGGGGCCCAGGAAAGTGGTGACACTTGCGCAGTTCGCAGCCACCCAGGGAGCAGCGATGTCCCGTCTGGGTCCGCGTAGCCCCCGCCGCGGCTGGACCTTCCAGGGGGGCCCACAGAAGTGGTAACAACTGCGCAGCTCGAAGCCACCCAGGGAGCAGCGAGGTCCCGTCTGGATCCGCGTGCCTCCTCCCGACTCCGCTGGACCCCCCAGGTGCCTACAAAAGTTGGTAACAACTGCGCAGCTCGCAGTCTCAGAAGAGGAAAGGTACCAGCAACGGAGGCGAGGCGGCATGATGCAATAAGACAAAGCTGCAGAAGCCGGGACGCAGGAGGAGGGGGGAGGAGGGGGGAGGAGGGGGAGGGGAAGGGGGAGGGGGAGGGGGAGGGGAGGAGGAGGAGGAGGAGGAGGAGGAGGATTTGAATAAAGCGCCGGGGTTTCTCCTCCTCCTCTTCCTCCTCCTCCTCCTCCTCCTCCTCCTCCAGTCCCTTCGGCGCTGCAGGCGTCTGAGTGCCCGCCGTCGGCATGCTTGGCTGGCAGCCTGCCCTCGCCGGCGTGCCCGCGGCCCTCGCCGCGCTCCTCCGAGGCTTCTCCTGCCGCCAACAAGTTCCCAGCTGCTGCGGCTCGCCGGAGCGGCTGTGGGCGCGGTGGGCGGGCGGGCCCCACCTCGCCCCGCGGAAGGGGGCGGGGGCCTCTGGCCGGCGATGCCAACCCAGATCCGCCCTTCTCTCTGTCCCCGAGGGGGGGGAGGGGGAGGTGGGGAGGGGGAGGGGAGGGGGAGGGGGAGGGGGAGGGGGAGGAGGAGGAGGAGGAGGAGGAGGAGGAGGAGGAGGAGGAGGAGGAGGAGGAGGAGGAGGAGGAGGTTCTTCCTGGCCCTCCTGTGTTCGGGGGCGAGGGGGGAGAAAGAGGAAGGGCAAGGGGCCCCGGCCGCCAGAGTCCAGGGCGTCGAGCTCCGCGTTGAAGAGCCTGCAGATGACATCGGCGAAGCCCTCGTGGGCTCTCCTGCGGCCAGCGGCGGCGCCGGGTGGGGGGGGGCTCCAGGGGTCAGCAGGGGCGGGGGGGGAGCAGAGGGGAGACCGAAGGGGGAGGGGGAGAGGGGGAAAAGGGCAAGCTGGGTGCGCTCGCGTCATCTCAGACGTCCTCGCCCTCCCTCTTATCCCTTACCATTGCGCTGACTCTGTCTCTATCCGCGGAAGCATGGGAGTCATAGCGGACCTGAGACTCCCAGAAAGACCCCTGTCGTGCGCTGCGAAATCGGAAAAGGGGACTGGCGTGCACAGGAGGAGTGGAACGAGGAGGAGAAGGTGGTGGATGAGCAGGAGGAAAAGGAGGATGATGAAGGATGAGTAGGAGGATGACGAGGAGGAGGAGGAGGAGGAGGAGGAGGAGGAGGAGGAAGAGGAGGACGAACAACACCAACTTCAGGAGTTGGAGCTAAAGGAGCGGGATGAGCAGGAGAACCAGGGGAAGACGGAGGATGGGGCATAAGGGAGGCGACAATGATGAAGAAGGACACGGATCCAGAAAAGTGGCCCGCGCTGGGGCGAGAGCGCCGTTCTGAACGACGGGAGCAAAGCGCCGAATCGAAAATGAGGCCCACGCTGAAGCGGGATCACAATTTTGCAACAACACGAGAAGCACCCATCCCTTGAATTCAGGTGTGAAAGCAATGCGCGGGGTGGGCGGGATACCTCCCGCACGTAGTCATGGGAGAGAGGGAAGTGGTATTCACAGTTCAATTGAGGGGGAGGAGGAGGAGGATGAGGAGTTGGATGAGGAGGACGAGGAAGAAGAGGAGGGAGAGGATGAGGAGGAGGAGGAGGAGGAGGAGAAGGAGGAGGAGGAGGAGAAGGAGGATGATGATGATGAGGAGGAGAGAGGAGGTTCTCGGAGGTTGCTGGAATTGGTTGGGGGTGTTCTTCTGGCTGCCAGACGCCGTCGGGAGGTCTGGAGACCTCTGGCGGGGGGCTCCTCGTGGTTTTCTTTCTCGGCAGCCTGGGAGAAGGAGGGCGGGAGGAAGGAAAGGGGAGGGAACATGGAAAGGGGGGATGAGGGAACAAGGAAAGGGAAGGGAAAGGGGAAAAGGGAAGGGAAGGGGAGGGAACAGGGAAGGGAAGAGAAAAAGAGAAGGGAAGGGGGAGGAGGGGGGGGGGAAAGGGAGACGAGGGAATGGGGGAGAGGGCGGCAGCAGGGAAGCAGAAGGGGGAGGAGTGGGGAGGCCTGGTGCTGCGGACCTGGTCCCTCGTGCAAAGGAAAGAGTGGATGAGGAGGAGGAGGAGGAGGAGGACGACGACGACGATGAGGAGCCCGAGAGGGAAGGCGGGAGAGGGGGGAGGAGGAACCCTAGGAAGGGGTCACTGCTCGAGGCGTCCTGCTCCGGATGTGGAGCTCGTTGAGGCCAGGTTTGAAGCGAAGCCCAACGATTTGCTCAGTGCCGACCGTGGAATTCCCAAGGTCATCAGGCAGACTCCCTCCTCCCAAACGTTTTGTTCTCCCCGCTATGCCCCGCTCTGTTCCCGTCGCGCTGCGGCTGGTTTCACATCGTGGGATCATGTAGCCAAAGGCCGAGAGGCTGAGAAGGAAGGGCCAGAGGAGGCGGGGAGGAAGGGCCAGAGGAGCTGACGTGAGCGGGAGGGGGAAGGGGGAGGGAGAAGGTGAGAAGGGGGAGAGAGGAGGGCATCGCACTCCTCAGGAGGGGAGGGGGGAGGGGAGGGCGGGAAAGGCCCCCCCCGCCCCCCCCCCCCCTCCTCTTGTAGGGGGGAAAAGCCCCCGCCGCCCCCCCCACCGCTCTTCGCGACGACGTCGGGGCCGCCGCCGCCTCCGCCCCACGCCGCCTCGCCTCCGCCCCCCCCCCCCCCTCTCCGCTCCCGCCAGCCCTCCGGCCTCTCCCCTCCGCTGCTCGTGCGCACCGCTGGCGCGGATGACGTGCGCACGCGGGCCTGGAGCGTGGGCACGCAGGCCCACAGACCGGGGCAGAGAGCTCCCCCCCCTCCCCCAAAGCGTGAGGTCGATCGCCCTGTGCCCCTGATTTGAAGCCTCTGGGGATACGGAAGTTCGGGGTCCAGGGGGAATCGTAGCGTTAGTTATCGTCTCAGTCGGCCACGGAGGGCGCCGATTCTTGTGCGGAGGTCCCTGATAGGCGTGCCTGAGCACGTGTGAGCGCTCCCTCGCACGTCTGCCACCCCTCCCCACCCCCTGCCCCTCTCCCTCGACCACACTCGGCCCACGGCCCGGAACGCCGGGGCCCGGCGGCGATCCGACCAGATGGTCCCGGCTGGGCCGACTCGAGATCACAAAAGCAGCTGGGCGATTCGTGGCTGAAAATCTCGAGCGCCGATGATGGTTGCGGGCCAGACTTGTGTTCACATCCACTGCAGCTCGGAGTCTTGGGCTCCCTTCCCCAGAAGCCCGAGGCGCACTGGATGTGGATGAACATCGGGCCCCAAAAGGTTACATTCATCCATATCCAGTGCGCCTCGGCCTTGCGGCGCCCCTTCCGAGAAAATCCAGAACGCTCTGGATACAGACATGAATATTGCTTGAACTGGTGACGGCGACGATGATGATGCTGCTGCTGCTGATGATGATGATGATGATGCTGATGATGATGATGATGATGATGATGATGATGCTGGTGATGATGATGCTTATTATTATTCTTCTTATTATTACTATTACTCTTATTAGTATTATGATTGTTATTATTATTCGTAGTATTATTATTCTTATTATTCATTATTATGATGATGCTGATGCTGATGCTGATGCTGATGCTGATGACTGCGGCTTGTTCGGAAACACACACCCGCGCATTCACGCAGGAGTTTCCCCCGTGGGCAGTCCGTGCCAGCCTCCTGCCAGGCAGCGCAAGGTGAGAAGAACTCACTCGGCACCGAGGACCTCCTAGAACGGTGGGCGGCATTCAGAGATATTCGGCACCCCATCTGCAGTAATGTGGCTCGCCACCCTGCTGGACACGCCAGCGGCCCAGAACATTGCACACGCAAATCCTTCCTCTGGCAATTTTCAGACATCAGCGGCGACAATTCTTCGTTTGAACCGACGGCGGTGCGAGAACGAAGGGGAAAGACGGGCGGAAACCGTACGATTCGCACGACGTAGGTGGAAGAGGAGGGAAGCCGGACCGAATACCCCTGGGAAACCATTATCGATCCCCTCTTTTTCGGCGAAGCTATATCCCCGTCCGCCCCTGGAAGTGATACTCCGCCCCTCAGAGCTTTCAATGCGGGATCCCACCAAGATCATCCGCCACCGTGCCGCTGGGCACGAAGTTGGCGTGTCCTCAGGTCCTTCGCCCAATCGCCTGAGCCTTTTACCCCCAGTTCTGAGGAGTCAATTGGTGGCCAGGACATGAATTTCCGAAATCTCCAGGGGCTTGTCGCGTGCCCACGGGCCCGCATCTTGTCGCGGGACTTCATTCGGGCCCAAGAGGACCCGAAGACGGTCCAAGAGGGTCCCGAGTCGCCGAAAGATCGCTCCAACGCGCGCAGGATGGCCCCAAGATGGCCCAAGAGGCCTCCAAGGCGCCCCAAGAAGCCTCCAAGAGGCCTCCCAAGATGGCCACAAGAGGCAACACTCATTGATTGTCCGCTGACTTTCGAAAGATGTTGATGTTGTCGCCTGATTGGCTTTCCGACGCTCCAAAACGGCCCAAACAGGCCCCCCAAAACAACATCAAACGGCCCAAGACGCCTCCAAGGGGGCCCCAGGACGGCCCAAGAGCACCCAAGACGGCTCCAGAGGGCCCCAAGGCGGGCCCGAAAGGAGCCCAAGAGAGGGAACACGCACCGAAACTCCAAGCCTTCTGCCCCAAGAGGTCCCCAGGAGGCCCCAAGAGGCGCCCAGGAGGTCCCACGGGGCCCCCAAGAGGCCCCCCAGAGGCACAAAAAGAGGCCCCCGAGAGGCCCCCGAGACGGCCGCCCAGAGGCCTCCAAACTGCCGAGGCCCCCGAGAGACCCCCCCGCGAGATCCTGGCGAACATCCAACACTTCGACCCGCTGCCCACGACCCAGGCACGTGGCGCGGGACGGGCCGAGGACCCGTCGGTCCGCCGCCCTGTCTTGGCCTGCCGCAGGGGGGCCCGCCCGGCGCGCTGAGTCCTGTGCAAGCCGCCTCCCCCCCCCCCTATTCCAAATCCCTTCTTCGGGCGTGGCTCCATGGGGGGGCATAGAGGGGGGGCGGTCAGAAGCGGTCCCCTTTCGTGCCCTTTCGGGCCCCTCTGGAGCCCCAGGGGACTCATTTAGGTACCGTTTGGGTACCTTTTCGGGCCACCCTCGCCACCACCCATGTATGACCCCCCCATTACGCCACGCCCAGCTTGTAATCGTCCCCCGGGTCCGGTTTTTAAGGCGCCTTTTTTGTAACTGGGGGGGGTCCTGTTTATGAGGGCGCTTGCTTTGGATTGGAGCTGAGGGGGTCCGGTTTAGTAAGGCGCCCCGTCGAAAAGGGGGGTCCGGAATATTAGGTCGCATTTGGAGGGGGGTCCGGTTTTTTTGGGGGGGGCGATCAATAAGGGACTTGGAGTAACGTGGCAAATCCCTAACCTAACCTGACGCAAGCCCTGCCGACACTGCGCCAGAGCTAGCCTAACCCATTAAAGCTACCGCGACCTGAGGCTCGGCGACACCAGTGTGCCAGAGTAGACTCCGCAGGCTTTCTGTTCCAAGATGGCCCCAAGATGGCCTCCAAGACGGCTCGGGAGCACCCCAAGAGGGCCCCCAGTCGGCCCAGAGAAACCCTCAAGACGGCTTCCGACGGCGTCCGACGGGCCAGGAGGCCATCAAGACGGCCCAAGATGGCTCGAAGATGGCTCAAGAGGCCCCCAAAAGGTCTCCAAGACACCCCAAGGGCCTCCAGGAAGGCCCGAATAGGCAAAAATCATTGTTTGTCCCGAGGTTTTCGGAGGACTTGGGCATTTGCTTCGTTTCCGTCTTCCGACGGCCTGAGACGGCCGAATAGCTCCAAAAGATCGTCCCAAGATCGCCCAAGAGGGCTCAAGAGGCCCCCAAGACGGCACCAAGAGGGCCCCAAGATGGCCTGAGAGACCTCGAGGACGAGCAAGATGTCCTCCGAGACGGCACTGGAGCACCCCAAGAGGGCCCCAAGTCGGCCCAGAGAGGCCACCAAGACGGCTTCTGACGGCGTTAGACGAGCTGGGGATGCCCTGAGACGGCCAAAGAGACCCAGGAGAAGCCCCCAAAGGCCTCCAAGAGGCCCACGGAGGCCCCCAAGATGCCTCCAGGAGGCTTCCAGGAAGCTCCCAGGAGGCCCCAAGAGTGCCCCCAGAGGCTCCCAGGATGCACCCTCCTCCGCCTCCTCCTCCTCCTCCTCCTCCTTCTCCTCCTCCTGCTGATCTTCCCGCCATCCTCCCCTGAGAGTTCCCCGAAGGGTAGAGAGGCTGGGGGAGCACATGGTCCGATAGCTTGGCAGAGCTCTTGCCACAACGCTCGACCACATGGGCGATTCCAAAGGAAGGGGGCGGCGGTGATTCGCCATAGGCGTCTTCGATAACAAGATTCCAACAAGACCCCGCTCGGATTGCAATAGGATCCCTGACGGATTCCAGAGGATTGCTGAATATTTGCCCTCCAGGATTGTTGAACGAATCGTGCAGGATGTCTGCAGGATTCTATGGGATTCCTGGATTCCTGGTCATTCCTGAAGAATCCGCGCGGGTTTCTGAGTCTTGGGAGATTTCTGAAACATTCCTACAAAGGACTCCAGAAGAATTCCAAAGAGACCTTCGGGCAGCCTGAGGGATCCATAGGAATTCCGAAGATGCCCGAAGATTCCTGGAGAATTCCCGAGGGTGTCGTGCTGATGTCTCAGGGATTCGCAAGAGGTTTCCTGAAGATCTCGAAAGCATTGATTTCTGAAGGGCGCCCTCTTAAGTATGCCCCCCCAGGCGGGGCGGCGCGCGCTGGGGTTGCGGCGCGGGCACATCCAGGAGCAGGAGGAGGAGGAGGAGGAGGAGGAGGAGGAGGCGGACGAGGAGGGCGAGGAGGACCTGAGTGAACCCAAGATGCGTGAAAGACGTCGCACCCTCCCGCCCCAGCTCTGCCCCCCCTCCCCCCCCCACTTGGCAAAACGGACCGCCCTCCGTGCGCGTGTCCGATGTCGAAACTGAGTTGCAGCTCGCGCTCGCTGGCTCTAACCACGAGATGCCTCAAGGGAGAACCACATCCTGAAAAGGGAAGCGACTTCCTCTTTTGTGTGATCCTACATACGGCGTAACTCCTTCTACTCCAGATCATACTACCATTTCGCGACTTTTCAGACGAGGCTGGGGCACATGACGGAATACGGTTACTGAGACTGGAGGGCATCTCACGACCGCCAAGAAGAGCATGCGACGTCAAACATTGTGTAAAACGATGATGCACGGTTGGGCGCTGGGGTCGCAAATGGGGGCCAAATTGTCGAATACCATCTTTAATCTCGCTTGCTCAGATCAACTACTTGCCGATACTGCCCAGGGGGAGGGGGGGGGGGGGGGGCGATTTCGGATTACGGGTGCGAAACAACGCAGGCGGTGCGAGGGGGCGGGGTGGGGGCGTCATTCCTGGGACCGGAATACGTTCCAGGACCGCCCAGGAAGCCATGCGAGGCCAAGCGGTGGCAACTGGAAACCAGACGCGGGAAGGTGTTGCGCTGGGTCGGGATCTGAACAGCAAGTGTGCGCCGCCTTGGAATCCTTGGCACGGCGCCGCCTTGACTCGCGCCGCCCTGCGACGCGGCGCGCTCCGCTCGGCGCCGCTGCGCGGTCCGTGTGTGGGCCCTCCCAGGCTGTGAAGCTTTCCTGCGGAGACCCATCGGCTCCAGGAAGAGTCCTGGAGATGCCCGCGGGTTCCTGAAGACTCCTCGCGGATTCCTGAGGAATCCGTCGGGACTCTGGGGGTGCCTGAGGAGTCCTGGGGACTCGAGAAGATTCCTGCGGAGGCATGCAGAATTCGTGAAAGAATCCTGGGGATTCGATCCCCGCAACTTTTTCTGCAGACACTTGAAGGATCCGTGAAGATTCCTGTGGGTTCCTCAAGATTCCTCACGGAATCCCAAAGGGTTCCTGCAGATTCCTTGGAACTCCTGAGAGTCAAGTCTCCTTAAGATCCCACGATGATTCCTGGAGGAGCCCTGGGGATTCCTGCGGCTCCCTGACAGATTCCTGGAGAGTCATGCAGGGTTCCTGGAGGATCCGTGGTGATTCCCGAAATTCAGTTGCTTCCACCGCCCCCTTTTAAACCCCCCGGGATGAATTAATTCGTTAATCGGGTTGCTAACGATATCTTTCGGCGGCTCCCCCTCCCCACTGAGAGTTCATGCTGTTTGTTGGTGCTACGGGTAGCGAGGGGGATCGATGATGGGTCCCCAGGGCTCTAGGGGCGGAGCATCAGGCATCAGCCCTGCTGCTGACGGTGGACGCGGTGAAGCGTACAGCCATCGCGCTGCCACAAAGGACGCATCACAAGAAACGCAGTGGCTGTTCCGACTACGCCGAGCCCTGGCCACGGAGACGTAAGTCTCCCAATCCAGATCTGAAGAGCGGCCCGAAAACCAGACCCCCCCTCCTCCTGAACCCAAAGTGGTCCCTGTGGCAGCGTCTTGACTGCAGACAAATCAGGGGGAAGCAAGGCTCGGTGGCAACTCATGGGAGCCTCCCATACCATCTTGTCGGCTCTTGCAAACCGACGCCAGTCGACGCTCAATCGACGCCGGCCGACGCGACATCCACGCTGATGGACGCAAAAATCGATGCTGTCTCATCGACTCCCAGAGGCTAATCGACGCTGGTCGACGCGAAAGACAGAATCAAGAGGGTACTCCAGATTTCGTAATAAAAGGGAGGGGGTCTGGACCCTCCAAGACAAGCCATTTCAGACCTCCCCCGTGGGAGGACCCTCCAAAAGTCTCTTCCAGGCTATCTTGGAGGGCCTGGGGACGATGTTTGGAGGGTTCTCCCACGGGGGGGTCTAAAACTTCTCGTCTGGGAGGGTTGAGACCCCCTCCCTTTTATTACGAAATCTGGGGTACGCCTGGCTCCCACGATCTGCTACCGGAGGAGCAGGGCTACGGGGATGTGGGGCCCGGCGGCGTGAGCTCGGCAACCCCTCTCCGCGACCTCCTCGGGCCGGGGCGCCCAAAAGGCCGTCGGGGGCCCTCTCAGCCCTGGGCGAGCGAGCTCCAGTGGATGGACAATACACCCTGCGAAATGCTTAAGAAATCATGGGTTAAGAAATTCAGAGTCTCAGATCTTGACTAAAAGCCAACATTTCTATTAAAAACTTAGGATTTACATTGAAACATTAAGAATAATCGAGACTCTGGCCGAACACTCAAGTTTTCTGAAGCATCGCCTAAGGTGTATATTCGAACCCTTACACATTCGAGGGAGATTCCGAATCACCCCCACGTCCCCGACGTCCATATTGACCTCAGTAATAGCGGTGCCTTGGGGTTCGGATATTTCCGTCCACCCACGCGCCCCCTCGCCGCCACGCCATCCATGCTAATTCCGGGGGCTCCGGGAGGCATCTTAGGGACACGAGGCTCGAGTCTAATGCGCATGTACGGTCCCACGCCTGCGCTGCCCGACCCCTAGACACCCTCGAGGGAGCCGGTCGCGCTTCGCAGGAGGAGCGTCGTCGCTGCTGTCGTCGTCCCCGCCGTCCTGCTGCTGTCGTCCCCGTCGGCGTGGGGCGGGGGGGCAGGGGGCGTAAGGAGCGCCCGAAGGTCGGCGACGTGCCTCTGAGGGACGGCGCCAGGAGGCTGCTGCCTCGAGCAGCAAGACAAACACAGAAGACGTATCATGGCCCAGCGCCTCTACGGCACCTCTGAAGGACGGGCCCGGAGGAGGCCGGCGCGGTCACCACGTGCCCGCGCCAACTGCAGCACGGACAGGGAGAGGGAGGCACGAGGAGCCTGGTCACACAGGTCACAGGTCATGGTCGAGCACAGGTCACAGATCATGGTCCGTGCATGTGAAAACAACTGGCCGACTCCTGTGGTGTGGGGCGGGCTCGAGAGGTCTGAGATGCTCCAGGGGAAAGGAGTAAGAAGATGAGGAGGAGCCGGGGAGGAGCAGGGCGAAGGGGGAGGAGGAGGGGGAAAGAAGGAGGAAGAAGACGAGCCAGGGAAGACCAGGGAGGAGGAAGAGGGGTTGGTACAAAGAGGAGGAGGGGAAGGAGGCGGAGGAGGAGGAGGAGGAGGAGGAGGTGGAAGAAAAAGAGGAGGAGGAGGAGGGGAAGGGGGAGGGGGCGGACGAGGAGGGAGGGGAACAAGGGTAGGAAGGAACGCCGCCAGGCTGGCCAATTCAGCAACACGCATGGGGCGTGGGATGCGAAACGAGCTTGGCTCGGATGGCTGAACTGCCAACCGTTCATCAGGAATTCCTCCGTGAACCAAGGCGGATCCCGGCTGGCTGCTGCAGCAACACTCATGGGGATGGGTCCTAGTCACGGAGACCTTCGAACATATCCTCCTGCTGCTGATCCCCTGGCTTCTCCTTGTGTGTTCCTTCTCTTCCTCCGCTCAATTGCCACAGCAATGCTTGTACTGAGGGCTTTGAACCGTGACCAGTGGAGCTGGGCATGGGCTCCATGCTTCTGGCTTGCTGCCCCCCGTGAGCGCCCTGCGGTGGTCGCCTCGTGGGCACCCGGTGGCCCTTGCTCTGCACTGCTTCCCGCTGCCTTGCCTTGATGCGCGCTGCACTGATTAGAGGAATGCTTTACTGACTTACGTGATCTGCCCGCAGGAGTAGGAGTAGGAGTAGGAATGAATAGGAGGAGAAGGATGAGGAGGAGGAGGAGGTGGAGGAGGAGGGGGAGGAGGAGGAAGAGGTGGGCGCCGACAGAAAGGTCGTCCGCGGGAACGAACAACCCTAGGCTAGGAAAGGGAGGAGGAGGAGGAAGAGGAGGAGGAGGAGGAGGAGGAGGAGGAAGCGGAGGAGGCAGAGGTGGGGGATGATGGAGGAGGAGGAGGAGGAGGAGGAGGAGGAGGAGGAAGAGGAATCTGCGTTGTGATTGTTTGCGCGAGCTGCTGTCAGCAGCGCTGGCGAGCCCTGCGTCGCCCTGCGGTGCCTTGCTTTGCGCTGCGCTGCCCGAGTTTGCAGTTTGGGCCACGCTGCGGCCATCTTCGACCCGACGCCCCCGCTGCGCGCTGCACTCCCTCTGCTTCCAGTATCGACGATGTCTGGTCGATATCGAAGCACATCGCGGGCGGGAAACATCGAATGTCAGCGTGTGGTTAACAAATCCGTGGGAGCGCGTGTTTAAAACATAGTTCCCCTGCTCGGGCGAATCGCGGGGTGGCGCCCGCCAGATTGAAAATCAAGGGGGCGGCGCCGGTGATTCGCGCTGACGCCCGAGGGGCAAGGGGGGGGGCTTGGAGGCACGGGCGAGCCAGGGCGACCCTCTTTCTGTAGAGCCGATGCGGGCATGCGGGCAAGGCGGGCTGGACGAAAGCTGGGCGCAGCAAAGGGGGGATTTGCCAAGCAGCTCACGTCGTCGATTTTCCAAGCGCCCCCTGGCGCCCAAAGCGGCCGTGCGTCGAGGACTGGCTCTTCGGCGGGGCGACCGAAACCAGCTGCGCGCAGCAGGCTTTGCAAACCCCCCTTTCCTTCCCCAGCCCTTCGTCCAACCCGAGCAAGGCGGGTAGTTCTCCTCCCCCCCTCTGTCGCCGTCGTCTCGCCGCCGTCCCCCGCCCTGCCTGCGCACGTTTCCAACGGCCGCCCTTTTCGTTGAAGACGACGACGACGACGACGACGACGACGACGACGACGACGACGACGACGACGACGACGGGACGAGGACGAGGACGACGGACGGCGGACGGCAGACGGCGACGGCGGCGACGACGACTACGCACTGCTGCGGTGCGGATGCCCTATGGGGGGGGGGGCAGCTGCGCAGGCCCGCTGCGGTCGACGACGGCGACGACGCCGACGACGACGACGCTGCGCAGGCCCGCGCTGTAGTCGACGACGGCGACGACGACGACGAAGACGACGACGACAACAAGGACGACGAACAAGAAGAAGAAGACGACGGCGACGGCGAAAACGACGACGACGGCGGCGGCGGCGGCGGCGACGACGACGACGACGACGCCTGAGAGGGGGAACGAAAATTCGCCTCGGATGTGTACGACCCTTACACCAACTCCTATACGAAATGCAATCGTTTTGAGGCTGCCATGCGGGGGGGTACACAATCCCCTCGGCGGCGCCAGCGACGACCCCCTGGCACGCGTGATTCCAAAAAAACTTCGCGCCCCGCGGGGTCTATTCATCAGCCACGGGGGGGGCGGCCTTTTGTTAATCACAAGCTGACATTACTCGTACAGGCCACGGAAAAATTGCGAACACTCATAGGTCAGTGCCTCCCCCTGCCCCTAATCTTCAAAATTGGCGGTGGGTCTGATGAGTTCCACTTCGACCGCAGTCTCCCCGCGCGTGCCAACTTTGAGTTTGGGGGAGCGGGGGAATGTCCACTAATTGTTTCCCACTACCGTATCCACGGCTTCGCGGGCGGGGGCCCTGGGACACGACCTTATGGGTGTGAACGTTTTCTTGTTCGGCGTTTCGACATTGGCTTCGGCGGAAGGGCTAAAGGACGGTGGGGTTGGCTCTGGATCTCTGCTTGATGCGACTGCTTGCAGCAGGGCGCCCATGATGGGGGAGCCTCCACGTGCCTGAAACAGGCGCCGAAAACAGTCAAGATCCACTCCATGGGGGAGGGGAGGGGGTGCGAGGGCCCGCGCCGACCGGCAAAGCAATGCACCAGAAGTTGATTGTACAGTCAAGCAATATAGCGAGGATGCGCGATGAGGATGCAAGGGCCTCGGAGGGCCATCTCGAAGCTTTTCGAGCGGGGCACGGCCAGAGAAAAAGTGGCCAAGGATGGGCCGAAGGGGCAAGGATGCAAGGGTACAGTCGGACTTGATTGGAAAAGACACGCGAGAGGACACAAGGCCCTTCAGGGGGCCACATCGCCACAGGAATGTACGAAGCATGGGTCGCGAGACACAGGACACAAAGATACCCTTGATCTGGCAGGGTCGACCTACTACTCCGGGCCGACTGCACCCCTTGGGAAGGCTGCCCCTCCTCCCTGTCTGGGTCGACGGTATTGCCTCACGGCTGCGGACTCTTGCTTCGCGGATGCCCCGCGCGAGCCCAACCCCTGCCGCGAAGGCGTGGCTTTGGACGTGCTCGCCGCTCGTGGCCATACACGTCGTTCCTTTCTGATCGTGCTCATTCCTGATCGTGCCCGTTTCTAAGTGTTCCTGGCCCCCTAGTGGCCAGGAAAGAGGCCCAGGATAGAAAGATTAGAAGTGAAAGGATCGTGGCTCCTCCCCAAAAATCAAAGAACTTCCGAAGAATCAGAGATGAACAACGTGTAACTGGAGGACCCCCTG